AGGAGCCATCATAGGGCTTAGATAAAATTTCTTAGAAATCGCAAACAATTACAGTACACTGTACAAAAGCAAAAATGCATCTGATACGTAGCTCCGATACGTAGCGATGCAGACAGAAGCGTGTACAGTATGAGCCAATCAGTGGCAGTAATGACAGAGCATGCGCTGTTACATAAAAACCGCGATAGAGTGAAGCCGCGGAAGTCAAAGCGCGAAGTGGCGAGGGTTCACTGTACGTAGACTTGTATGAGAGAATAAATATGTATGTGTGTGAGTCAGTCAGCATGTGGGTGTGTGTGAGTGTGTATATTTGAGAATGTGTATATGAAGATTTGAGTGTATGCGTCTGTGAGAGAGAGTGTGTGTGAGGGGGGTGCCTGTGGGTGTGGAGTGAGGGGTGCAGGCCTGAGGATTGTGGGGGAGGCAGCCTCAGACTGAGCCCCACCCCCACCTCCTCCAGGACTCCCTGGGGGGGAACAGCCGCACAGTAATGATTGCCCACATCAGCCCAGCCAGCAGCGCCTTTGAGGAGTCTCGGAATACCCTGACCTACGCCGGCCGGGCCAAGAACATCAAGACCAGGGTAAGGGGCCCATCTGTCTGCCAGGGCACTGCCTTTGGGGCCCAGCTTCCAGCCTGGACTGGTTCCAGGCCCTGCTACCCACCCACTCTCTGGTACCACTCCCCATTGTGCTGATCTCACCCCACATCCATGGACCTCCCCATGCCCCACCCTACACCTTCCAACACCTGCCTGCCTGCCAGGAAGCACACAGCCCTGAGGGTCCCTCCCCCACTCTTGTAGAAGGTCTGCACCCCTCTGCATCCTCCCCCTCCACATCCCCACCTTCTACAGAGGCTCTGAGGTCAGTTGGAACATAGCAGGACACATCCAGGCTGGCAGCCCACCTAGGGCCACCCCTGGAGGCAGACACAGAATCCAAGCAAGCAGGAGGGCTGAGGGCAAGAAAGAGGGGTTCTTCCTGTCTCTCTTATAATAAGGCCACACCCCCAAGGAGGCATCACCAGGCTACCGCCTGATTGACAAGCTAGACTCCACCCCTCCTTCCACATCAAGTGGCGTAAAATCTAACCACCACACAGTGTCGTCCCATGGTGGAACTCAAGGGATAAGAAGTAATATTGACATGAGGATATAGTTTATAGTCAGTATATCGCACCACGGAGGAGCCCTGGTTCACATTGGGCCGTGACCCACAAGGTGAGCAGTGCAAACCCCCTAGCCCCTCCTCAGGAGAAAGATAAGGAAACCACTTGTCTGATTTACAAAGATGTACAAAGCCTGATAGGGCGTGATCAAGGACAATGTAACCAAGAGGAATTGCTGAAACCCAAACGGAGGCTGAGCATGATAGTGGGACAAGGGGAAAGTAAAAGGAAATAGAGGAAAGAGCTAGGAGGCAAGGGGCATTTATAGAGGTTTAAATACAGCCATGTCCATATGTAAACATTTATATATGATGATGGGGAAATAGATCTATGTGCATATATTTATAGGTTTAAGATATGACAAAAATACCAATAATTTATGAATTACCAAGGGCTCATGAGGGAGGGGGAAAAATGAGGAGCTGATACCAAGGGCTCAAGTAGAAAGCAAATGTTTTGAGAATGATGAGGGCAATAAATGTTCAGATGTGCTTGATACATGGATGGATGGATGGATTTTGATGAGTTGTACGAGCCCCCAATAACATGATTTTTTTTTAAAGGCTTACAAAGCCTTGGAATCCACAGACAGGGTCGCTGTGAGTCAGCATTGACTTGATTTCAGTGAGCGTTTTTGGTTGGTTGATTGGTATATTCTCACTGCCATGGAGTTGATTCCAACTCATGGTGACCCTATAGGACAGAGTAGAGCTGCCGCTGTAGGTTCCTGGGACTTTAAATCTTTGTAGGCAGCCTCAACTTTCTCCCTTACAGCAGCTGGTGGATTCAAACCACTGACCTTATGATTAGCAGCTCAGTACATAGTCCACTATACCATCACCACCGGGAGTCCACGGTAAATACAAGACTTAGACTTTGAGGGCATACAGAGAATACCAAAAAACAAACACAAAAACAAGAACAAGCCCACTGGTAGATTTCAACTGATAATAACTCTGTAATTCTAGGGTTTCCAAAGCTGTAAATCTGTGTGGGAGCAGAATGACTTTATCTCCCCCCCCACCCCACCCCCGCAGTTAGTTGGTGGGTTTGAACCACTGACCTCGCGGTTGGCAGATACTTAGAAAGGGGATTTAGGAAATTTAGAGAAGCGAAGCTCACTGCCCTGGAGACGATCCACCCCACAGCGCCCCTGCAGGACAGAGTGGAACTGCCGCTGTGGTGTCCCACGCGCTGCCCGGGAGCGCGGGCCTGCTCTTTGCCCCGCGGAGTGGCTGGTGGTCGCCAACTGCTGGCCTTGTGCCATCCTGGTGGAGCAACGATTAGGCGCCAGGCTGTTACCACAGCGGCTTGGTGGGAGCAAGACCCTATGGGGCGATTCTACCAGGTTACAGAGTCCCAACCATCTCCAGGATCCCGCCTTCGGGAAAGACGGGGGAGGTGGGCGGGGAAGAAGAGAAAGGAGGGGGGCGGCTGTGCTGTGACGGGCCGCCACCCCCCCTCCATGCCCGCGCAGGTGAAGCAGAACCTACTGAGTGTCTCCTACCACATCGCCCAGTACACCGCCATCATCGCCGACCTGCGCGGCGAGGTCCAGCGGCTCAAGTGCAAGATCGACGCGCAGGCGGGCCGGGGCGGGGCCCGGGGCCGGATGGAGCGCGGCGACATCCGCCACATCCAAGGTGGGCGCAGGTCAGCCCGGCGGGCTCGCGGAGCTCCAGGCCTTTCTTCCTGTAAGATGGCACTGTGACCGCTGCTCCCGAAGAGGGTCAGCCGGAATATTGGGTGGGGGTCCTAGGAGCGAGGTCACCCGAGCCTAGGCGGTAGGGATAGGGGAGGGGCCACAGCCAAGCAAAGCCTCAGGGTCAGGGCTGCAGGGGTGCAGTGCCCTCGCAGAGACTGTATGCTGCCCTGACATATAGCAGTGGGGTGACCGGCACTATGAGGGATCCCTGGTGGTGTAGCGGTTACGAGTCCGGCTTCCATCCGAAAGGTCAGCGGTTTGAAACCACCAGTCGCTCCAGCAGAGAAAGACGTGGCTTTCTACTCTCGTAAACATGGTCTCAGAAACCCACGGGATGGTGGGGTGGGGGGTGTCACTATGAGTCAGAGTTCACGAGGAGTTCGTGGGTGAGCTTCAGTGGCACGGCTTTTAAGCGCTCAGCTCCTCCAGACTGAAAGCCTAGGGGTTCAAACTCACCTGCCACTCACCTGGGAGCAAGAGATGTCAATCTGCTTCCTTCAAGATTCCAAAAGCAAACGAAACCCACAAAGCTGCAGAGTGGGGTTCCGAGGCTGTACGTCTTTCTGGGGAGTGCACTCTTTCTCCCTAGGAGCAGCTGGAGGGTTTGAACCGCTGACTTCTCAATGAGCAGTCAGTCCTATTGTGCCCTACAGGCTCACTGGGAGCCAGAGGAGCCCTGGTGGCTAGTGGTTTATGCTACTAGCCCCAACCACCAGCTGATGAAGGTTTCCCACAAGCAGCAAAAAACCTCACTGTCAATTCTGACTCATAGTGACCCCTAAGACAGGGTCGAACTGCCTTCTGTGACTTTCTGAGACTGTAATTGTTTATGGGAATAGAAAGTGCCGTCTGTCTCCTGCAGTACCGCTGGTGGTTTCTAACTGCTGACCTTGGGGCTAACAGCCCAAAGGGTTACCACTATGCCAACAGGGGCAGCAGTGCTGGCCACAGGGGCAGTTCTACCTTGTCCTATAGGGTCAGGATGGGATGGATGCTGGTGAAATCAGAAGCCTCTGGACACAACGGGGAAGTGACCTCTGCACCTCAGTGGTGGGACTGGGGCAGGGGAAGAAGTGGTCGTCCAGGAAGTGGCTGGACAGGAAGTGGGAGCAGTCCTTTGATAAGAACAGGAGGTGAGGTCTCCTGGCGGGGCCTAGACTTCTGGCCTGACCGTGCCTCCTCCCCTGGCCCCCGGGTAGCCGAGGTCCAGCTGCACAGTGGGCAGGGCCAGCAGGCTGAAATGGCGCAGCTCCGGGAGCAGCTGGTCAGCGCCTTCCAGGAGCAGATGGACGTGCGCAGGCGCCTGCTGGAGCTGGAGAACCACGCCATGGAAGTCCAAATTGACACCTCCCACCACCTGCTCACCATCGCCGGGTAAGCCCTGTTCCCACGCCACCCCAACCTGGGCTGCTCTGGCTCCTGCCCCTGCTCTGTGCCTATAGCCCGTGTCTCCCTGGGGTGGGGCTGTCGCAGCTGGGAGCAGGAGAAATCCCGCAGGACCCTCAAGTGGCGCGAGGAGCAGCGGAAGGAGTCCTTCACCAAGGATGACAGCGAGAAGGACTCGGACACAGGCGATGACCAGCCGGACAGTCTGGAGCCGCCCGAGGTGGCCTCAGCCCGGGAGAACATCGCCGCCCTGGTGGGCGAGCAGAAGAAGCTGCGCCAGGAGAAGGTGCCCGGCTTGAGGGGAAGGGGCAGGGAAAAGGGGCTGGAGAGGCCTCCAGGCAGGAGCTGGGCCCCTTGCCCAGCGAAGTCCCTTAACCTCTCTGAGCTTCATCCGCAAAGCCCAGAGTCATGGTGCCACCCTAATGGGGTTGTTAGGGAAATGAGCTGGTGGCATAGTGGTTCCATATGGGCCCGTATCCTCAAGGCCAGCAGCTCAGAACCACCAGTGGTGGAGAAAGAGGAGGCTCTCTACTTTGGTTAAAGAGTTCACAGACCCGGAAATGGCCAGCGACAGTTCTGTCCTGTCCGGTAGGGTCACTATGAGTCGGCATCCACTCAATGGCGGTGAGTTTTTTGAGCACATGCCAAGGACTCATAAAATGTAGCCAATGTTCTAACTGGGACTTTGAGGTGAGTGTCGATTCTAGTTCATGGTGGCTGTGTGTGTGTGTGTGTGTGTGTGTGTGTGTGTGTGTGTGTGTGTGTCTGAGGGTAACTGTGATTCGGTAGGGTTTTCAATGGCTGGTCTTTTGGGAAGTGGACTGCCAGGCCTTTCTTCGGAGGGGCCTCTGGGTGGACGGACACAGCAGTTTGGCCACCGATCCTGTAAACTGTTTGCAGGGCCCATAGGCTATCAGAAGGGCTGTCGTGGGGGGACCGCTATCCCCCAGGGCTGGCTCCAGGGCTTTTGTGGTCAAGGTGGCCCCAGAGGGACCAGTTAGGAGAAGGGTTGACCCGGGACGACAGCACCAGCGGGAAGCCCAGAGTCTAGAGACTGGAGCAGGGTGGACAGGCCCCGCGGGAGGTGGAGAGAGGTGGCATGGCTGACACCTACTCCCCCCACCATCCCCCCAAGCTGGCGCTGGAGCAGCGCTGTCGTGAGCTGCGCACGCGCGGCCGCCGCCTGGAGGAGACGCTCCCGCGGCGCATCGGCTCCGAGGAGCAACGCGAGGTGCTCAGCCTGCTGTGCCGCGTGCACGAGCTCGAGGTGGAGAACACGGAGATGCAGTCGCACGCGCTGCTGCGCGACGGCGCGCTCCGCCACCGCCGCGAGGCCATGCGCCGCCTGGAGCAGCACCGCTGCCTCTGTGATGAGATCATCCAAGGCCAGCGGCAGGTCATCGACGGTAGGGACGCCGCCCTGGGTCCCCGCTTGGCCAAGTCGCCCTGGAGCCTTCGGCCCCAAGCTGAGCTCCTCCCTTCCCCACCGCAGACTACAACCTGGCAGTCCCCCAGCACCTGGAAGAGCTCTATGAGGTGTACCTGCGGGAGCTAGAAGAGGGTAGCCTGGAGCGGGCCACCATCATGGACCGAGTGGCCTCCCGGGCTCTGCAGGCCAGTGTCTGGGTGGGGGCACTCGCTGAGGGGGGGACTGATGCAGGGCATGGCACCAGGAAGGCTGGCACCTTGGGGAGTTGTTTCCCTTCCCCTCTGCCCCACCCCAAACTAACCGGGTCTGAGGGAACGTCCCCACCCCTGAGCATGCTTCGCTGCTGCCACCCAGAGTTCAGGAGTCAAGACCGGTCATCAGAGAATCAGAGTGGCCACAGATGCCCTCAGGAGACAAGTGACACCAGGTGGCACCACTGGGGTGCCCACCACAGCAGAGAACGCCCAGCCCATGCCACATCCTTGGCCACCCTGTGCAGCGATAGATACCTGGTCCAGGACCAAGTCTCCTGACTCTTTGCTCTGGCTCCTCCCGCACAGGACAGCTCCTTGCCCAAAATTGCCCCTGCAGGGACCCTGCTGACCCCAGATTCTGACCTAGAGAGCGCGAAGACCCTAAGCTTAGAGGCCCAACACCTGCCAAACTGCAGCCTCCCCCCACTCAGCACGGAGAGGTAAGGCCAGAGCCCAATAAGGTGGGGTGGGGTGGGGGTGGGGGACACAGAGCAGGAAGGGAAGAGGAAGTGGCCCAGGCAGGGAGCTGGGATTCCTGGGCTTGTTCTTTCCTGTCCGAAAACAGCTTCTCCCCCAGGGCTGGGCTGGGTTCCTCCACGGGGCCGGCCTGGCCAACAACCACCCTGTTCCTCCTCTGCCAACTCCAGTGAAGCTAACCAGGTGTTCAAGGCCAATCCCCGGGCCTGGCAGGTGAAGGGCTCCTCCGTGCCCACCCCGCCCCCCATCCAGATCGGTGGCCTGGTGACCCAGGAGGTGAGCTCTGGGCCCCCGGTGGCCCCCCAGGGGCTCTACTGATGGGGATGGGGGAGCACCCAGTGGTCCCAACAGAGCCGTTCCAATATGGCCACCACCCCTTTCTCTGAGGCTCAGGTCTGGGTCCTTGGTGTGCTCAGGCCGCCCCCCCTGCTTTGCACCCCTACCCCACCAGACCCCTACTCTGGACTGCATGGCCAGCCTGAGCAGCAGGATGAACTCCTCCCCGGACAGCATCGAGAACCTGGCAGACATGCCCTTGTCCCACAAAGGTGTGCCCCCCTCCACCTTTGAGCCCAGCCAGGGTGGTACCACTGAGGAGCCCAGCCCAAACCCTATCTCGCCAAGTGTGCATGAGCCCTCTAGAGAGCCAACAGTGTTTAGAAAGGCAGTGTCCCCCTGCACGGTGCAGTTGGACATCGGAATGGACATGTGGCACTTAGGAGTGGGTCCCCTCTATCCATTGTAGTAGCACACACAAATGAGCCCCCGACTCAGTCCTCACAACACCACCCCCAGTTTACCGGTGGCCTTAAAGCAACTGCTCCAAGTTACTTATCCTGGGAACCAATGGGGCAAGGCCCTGGGGCCCCATGGCGGAGGGGGGCGGTGAGGACATACAAGGGGTGGGCGAGAACTCTATTCGACTGATGGGGCGGGTGTGCCCTCTGTCCCGCTGCAGAGCGGAAGGAGATTGTCACCAGCACCAAGTGCATTTCCGTGAAGGCAGCGCGGCGGCGCTCGCGGGCTCTGGGCACCGAGGGCCGCCACCTGCTAGTGCCCGCGGCGGAGCGCAGCAGCCTGTCCCTGCGTTCGCTGAGCGAGGCGGACGATGCGCGGCCCCATGGCCCGCCGGCCTACAAGCGGCCGCCCAGCCCCACACTGCAGGACGCAGTCAGTGAGGACAACCTGTCCAGCAGCACCAGCGAGGCCCCAGCCCAGCCGGCTGGACCGCGCGGCCAGAAGAAAAGCCCCTGCAAGAAACGCGAAGAGTCAATAGAGGTCAAGAGAAGGAAGCGGAGGTCCAGGTCCTTTGAGGTCACAGGGCAAGGGGTGAGATGAGGCAAGGCGAGGGGCAGGGGGTGGCCCTTGTACTAGATTCCTCCTGCTCCCTCTCCCACAACCAGGGTCACGACCTCGTCCCCCAGGCTGGGGCTGACCTCTGGAGCCCACCCTTGTGTCAATGGGACTGTTTTAACCATCTAGCTCACCGCCCCCAAGAACCACCTCCTGGGGCTGCGAACCGTGGAGAACACCTCAGACCACAGGGTGCCAGCCAACGGGCACCCAGCCCCCAGGACCCGGCACCCTGAAAAGGCCACGCTGCCTTTGGCCAAAGTCAAACTCCCTCCAGGCCAGATGGCAGGTCAGTACTGGCCATGGGGGTTGGGGGGTAGGGGGTGGGGTGGGGAGTGCTGGAGGCGGGGTCTTGGCTAGCCCAAGGAGGAGGAGCATGCTGAGCTGCTTGTCCACTGGTTGTCCCTGGCTGGAGACAGGATCTCCCAGTATGTTTGTGGAGCAGTACTCAGAATCCCAGTTCCTGGCATTGTGCCCCTAGGGCGTTCAAAGCCAGAGAGGGATTGGTTGGTGGAGGGGGGGAGGTGGGGGGGGAAACAAGGCATTTCAAAACCACTGACTCCAGCCTTTCTGCTCTCTCAGGTCCTGGGGGCCCCTCACCTCTTGCTGTTCCCCCCAACCCAGCTGGTGTTTCCCGACGGGCTGCCCGAGGGCCCCGCCTGTCTCATGGCCCAAGCACCCATGGCAAAGATGGACGTTTCCGCCGTAATTGAGGGGCCTGCCTGCCACTGACCCTCCTGCCCCGCCCCACCTTGAGTGGGGTGTCTCAGGGAAATGGGAGATGGAGGTGGGGCAGAGGGTGTGACAGGGGAGCTGGGTTGCAGGGTCTCAAAAGCCCTAGGTTCTCCGAAGTTCTAAACCTATCATGTCTTCAGTGTCACCTGGGATGGAAGGTGACATCAGGAGGCAGGGTGGGGACAACCCTGGACAGAACCCTCATGCCAAAACCCTGCACCGACAGACCTGTGGCCAGAAGCGGCCTCGGAGATGGGGGTGGGAGGGCTCTTTGCAGGGGGAATGGGGTGGGGCTGGACAAGGGCTGGTTGGGGGGGCCTGCATATTGTGGGTGGGGGTGGGAGGTTGGGTTTAGTAACTTTTTTCTCTTTCCTTTTTGACAATAAAGTCCCATTTAGGAACTCAACCTTGTGTGGAATGTGGGGTCATTATAAAATTCAGTCCCAACTACCCCACCCCCAAACGCCCGAACTGCCTCAACCCTTCTCCCCTGCTTAATTTCATTTCAAAGACGTGGGTAAAGGGGGGATAGCATGCTCCTTCAGACCTAGAGACACCACCCCTACACACACCCCAGTCCCCCTCAGGAGGAGCCAGGGGGGCCAAAGGGCAGAAAGCCTCATAACCTAGATGAGTGATTAACGATCCTGGAGGTCAGGGCACAGAAATTGCCCACACAATGCCTTCCGTTTCAAGGTGAGAAACTCCTGCAAGGAGTACTGGGGTCTCCCCGACCCCCACCTCCCAGGCACCCAAGTGAGCTCTGACCATTTGGAAGTTCTTACATGCTGTTTTCTGAGTCTGGGGGTGGGAGGCACCCATCTGCTCAGTGAAGGGTGGGTGAGTCCCCAGACCCGTGGGACCCTGCCCTTGTAACCAGCCACTCCTCGGCCTCTCTGAACGCTATTTTATTTAAAACCAAGAGCATCCTATGCAGACGACTCTGAAACCAGCCATCTGGTCTACCACCCGTAGCCTAGTACCACCTTGCCTCAGCCCCAGCCCCAGCCCCAGCGTCAGGTCTACAGTCACCTCTATTCACCACCGCCTCCACCCTCCACCCCAGCTCAGCCCCTCTCGGTCACGCACACGGGGACTCTCTCCCCGACCCCGCGTGGCTACTTGGGGGTCCGAATCAGGGTGTGGTACACGGGTTTGACGATGAGGTGCAGGTGCAGGGTGCTCTCCACCAGGTACTCTGAGTTGCGCCGCTGCAAGTCAGCGTGCGCCAGGAAGTCGCCGGCCTCCTCGCTGCTCTGGTGGAAGTGGTAGGCGTGGCGGACTAGCAGGCGGCCCTGCTGCCGCGCGCCCACCAGCACGGTCTTCTGGAAGCTCACGCCTGCCGCCTCGCCGCCGCTGCTGGCCGGCGTCACC